CAATCGCATGTACTTATGGACTATAAATAATTATTAAACATGTATTATAATATTTAAGTCATAATTTTATAAAATTTCAACAGCTATTCGCAATTTATTAAGGCAGTGGCTCCATGTCCGATATCGGATACGCAGCTACATGCTCTCCGCTTCCGTCCTCGTACATAGAGCATCAAATTCTGCATGTCCTTCAGCGTCGATGTACTGCCGCCTTTTTTTAAATTGCTTAATAAATAATTATTTATCATGGGTCATATTTTTAAAAGCGAAAAAGAGGATGTTCCATAGTTACTAGTGCTACTAGTTACTACTCATCTAAAAATTAACTTTTTACTTTCCTATCTGTATACAGATATAAGGAAAGTATAGGAATCATGATTTTTTGACCTCGAGTTTTCGACGGATTTTTACGTTTTGAGGTCCCCTGAATCTGTTTTGGCTATTTTCGCGATGATGTCTGTGTGTGTGTGTGTGTGTGTGTGTGTGTGTGTGTGTGTGTGTGTGTGTGTGTGTGTGTGTGTGTGTGTGTGTGTGTGTGTGTGTGTGTGTGTGTGTGTGTGTGTGTGTGTGTGTGTGTGTGTGTGTGTGTGTGTGTGTGTGTGTGTGTGTGTGTGTGTGTGTGTGTGTGTGTGTGTGTGTGTGTGTGTGTGTGTGTGTGTGTGTGTGTGTGTGTGTGTGTGTGTGTGTGTGTGTGTGTGTGTGTGTGTGTGTGTGTGTGTGTGTGTGTGTGTGTGTGTGTGTGTGTGTGTGTGTGTGTGTGTGTGTGTGTGTGTGTGTGTGTGTGTGTGTGTGTGTGTGTGTGTGTGTGTGTGTGTGTGTGTGTGTGTGTGTGTGTGTGTGTGTGTGTGTGTGTGTGTGTGTGTGTGTGTGTGTGTGTGTGTGTGTGTGTGTGTGTGTGTGTGTGTGTGTGTGTGTGTGTGTGTGTGTGTGTGTGTGTGTGTGTGTGTGTGTGTGTGTGTGTGTGTGTGTGTGTGTGTGTGTGTGTGTGTGTGTGTGTGTGTGTGTGTGTGTGTGTGTGTGTGTGTGTGTGTGTGTGTGTGTGTGTGTGTGTGTGTGTGTGTGTGTGTGTGTGTGTGTGTGTGTGTGTGTGTGTGTGTGTGTGTGTGTGTGTGTGTGTGTGTGTGTGTGTGTGTGTGTGTGTGTGTGTGTGTGTGTGTGTGTGTGTGTGTGTGTGTGTGTGTGTGTGTGTGTGGGTGCGTGCGTGCGTGCGTGCGTGCGTGCGTGCGTGCGTGCGTGCGTGCGTGCGTGTGGGTGCGTGCGTGCGTGCGTGCGTGCGTGCGTGCGTGCGTGCGTGCGTGCGTGCGTGCGTGCGTGCGTGCGTGCGTGCGTGCGTGCGTGCGTGCGTGCGTGCGTGCGTGCGTGCGTGCGTGCGTGCGTGCGTGCGTGCGTGCGTGTGTGTGTGTGTGTGTGTGTCTGTATCCACCATAACTCATGAACCGATATAAAGAAAAACACCAAATTTTATACCTAAGCTTTATTCTGGTGTGCGGTGAACTGATTAGATTTTGGACACAGTCGGAACATTTGGGGGGTACTTTATAAGTGGTAATTTTTATATTTTATGGAATATATTCGTTATTTACGTTTGGAGAAGAAAATTCTTTAAATAAAAGTTACTTACAATATTACTATCTATATAAAAGTTTCCTAAAATGGTCCGTATTCGAAAAATGTTACAAAATGTAAAAAAAATATTTTCAAAAAAAAATTGTTCAAATAAAAGTTATTTGTAATATAATTCTCTATCATTTTTATCCCATACATAATTTCTCTAAAATAGACCGTATTCCAGATATTTGAGAAAATGTGTAAATTTCGAATTTTGAAGAAAACTCAAAAACGGATAAAGGAAAAAACATTAAATTTTAAACTTAAGTTTTATTTCGTCCTGAAGTGAACTGATTAGATTTTGGACGAAGACGGAACATCTGCCCCGCCCCCTCGGGTACTTTATGGGAGGCCGTTTTTATATTTTATGGAATATATATTATAGAAACATGTGTCAAGTTAGATGTATGTGGTAAATGTATATATTTAGTTTATCTTCTAAACATTTATAGAAATGCTGCAATAGGTTGTACAAAATAACCGGAAAAAGCCTATAATAACTAGATAGGAAAGTCATGTTTTGGACACATCAGATTTTTTACATAGCTGAGATAGCTAGCGAATTATGTCAAGTTATGTTTTATGTAAGCCCATTGTCGATAAGGTATAGGTATATGTATTTCAAATTAGATTCAAACAAACGAATTATTGCCAAGTGAAAAATAAATTAATTTAATAACCTATCAGTTTTATTTCCCCAACAAGGATTTACCGTATTGTTATAACCTGCTTTTCGAAATGAAAATAAATACAAAGAATGAGTCTTATTAACAAAAATAGATTAAAAGATTCGTAATTGATCTAATTAAAGGTTGGTTCATATAGGGGGCGAGTAATTTATTAGGAGCCTATACCTTTACTCAGAAATTATATACTAACTTAAGAAAAAAAAAGTTTCTTGGTTTTAGACAAATTTTTTAAATTATTTGAATTTTATTAATACATGGTGTCCGAAAGGTGCTGCACCAACTTTAACATCAGAATTTTAAATGCAACACCCTGTATATTTTTACATTTTTAAACTCTTCTCAATAAACAGATTTCAACGATATATCATACTATCTATCGAATGTGATCATGATCAGTAATGGATCTACAGCTACTAGAAAATCACATTTTTTTTTTAAATTTAGGTGGCGGTAGATAAGTGAAATTCAAAAAAAAGAGCTTACATGTCCCTATCCTAACTTTTCCAGTTCTATTCAGTGGTATGAAAAATTATTTGATGCAGGGTGATCTTATCATCTAGTTTTCGATAGGATAGGGACATGTAGCCATTTTGCTCGATATTCAACTGTTTAGCTAATTAGATGTGTGATATACCTATTGTTAAAATCTGCTCACCGAGAAGAATCTAAGAATTAACATTCAGGATGTCCCATTTAAAATTTTAGTATTGAAGTCGGTGGAGCACTTTTCAGATTAAATAAATTCAAATTTAAAAAAATTGTTTAAAACCAAGAAACTTTTGTATCAACTTTTTTTTTTCTAAAGTTAGTTTTTGAAAAAGGTATGGGCACCTAATAATTGAACTTTGTTGTATAAAAATTTAACTATTTTATAAGGTTAATTCATGTACCATATTTTAAATAGCGTAAATTTGGGTTACCTACCTAAAATGCAAGATTATCTATTTTATTTTAACCTTAAAATTCCAGAATTTACAGTTGTCAAACCATTATTCAACTAAAAGAATTTTCATGAATAAGTAGGTAGGATAGCTGGCCAACTACAATAATTATTTCTAGAATTATAAGATTAAAATAAAATTTAAAAAATGGCACATGAATTTACCTTTATTTTTAATCTGAACATCTTTGCCTAATATGTTGGAAAGTAACAAAGACGAAATACAAATAAAAAATGAAAGATCTTGTGCTTTTAAGCCGCTCTAACAAATACAAAAAATATTCCCAAATTAATTCATATAAAATGGAATTCGGTTTAATAGGTAACTACTAATTTTTCTTACCTTCAAAAGCCTTCAAATATTCACCAAATCCAGTTTTTTCCACTGTTTCACTATTTAAAAGACAAAAGCAATAAAAAATAAATCAAAATCAAAAAGCTTCTGAAACTGAAACAAACAACAAACAACCATGACCATGAACCATACCAAATATAACCAAATTTGACGTCTCTTCCTATCTCTATTTGTCTATACATCAAGGCCATAACGTTGTCGGTTATAAAATTTGCAAAGTAACAAATAAAGTGTAGTAACAAATAAATTGCGATAGAAAAATATAATTTTCTAGATACAATAAAATACAGATAAAAATGCACCTATGTCAAACAAAAACATTAAATTACTTATGAAATACGAACATACTTTTCTATGTTGGGGCAATTTAGTAACCATAATACAGGTAGTAGAAGTAGCAGTAGTAGTAGTAGTAGTAGTAGTAGTAGTAGTAGTAGTAGTAGTAGTAGTAGTAGTAGTAGTAGTATGGTAGTAGGACTTCTCGCGTAGATTATTTGCTGTCGATGGGTTCATATGTCTTTTTAAATCAGCATTTTTAGTTAATAATTATTAGATACCTCATGTGGAAGTGCATTCTATCTTTGGAAATATATTATTATTTAATATGGTATACAACATTCTATGATTTATTTAGTCATCTTATAATATTTAACTAAATACGTGGCAACGTCACTCAACTTGGCGTACAATCGGCATAGAAGATACCAATAGCAGTTAAAAAAATAACCTTAATTTTATGTTATTATTACTACTAGTAGATGGCGGTATAATTATTTTTAGTCAATGCCAACTAACGGTTATTCCTGAATTATTAACAAATTGATTGAATAACTGCTAAATAATTGTAAACTTTAGATAAATGTTTATTTAATATAATGGTCACAGAAAGATCAATAAAATAATGGTTCTTAAAAACTTGCTATTGTTAGATATTGAATAGATAGATACTTGTATGAGCCGAATTTTCTCAGTGCACGATGTTTTCTTCTTTTGGAGCAAACCTTAGAAGCGTTTATACAACGCTGAAAGTACATATATTGGAAGACATCTTAAATTTGGCAACATTTTATTGAAAACATTCTATGAAATTAGTCAAATTTGGCGCAAAGTATAAAAAACAAAATTTTAACTGATTATTTCTTGCAAGATAACAAAGTTAGTAAGGATTACATGTCTTTTACAAAAACTGTATACATTTGTTAAGCCCTTCATAATAAATTTGTAAGGAAATTTTTACCTGTGGAACTATTTTATTATAAAAGAATTTAAACTTCTCTTTGCCCAGTATATAAAATTTAACTATTCAGTTTGATGTTATTTTTACAACGTTTACAGGGTTGGTACATTAAATGAATTTATTTGAAAATATTAATATTATTTTTTAACATAAGTAAAAAACATTTTTCAGATTACAACAACGCTTAAAAAGAGAAGTAGAACTATCCCCAGAAGAGATTCTCGCTTTGTTGTCTCTCTACGAAGCCAACCAGCGTCAACATCAACTTCCGGCAAGCGAAAACTACCGCCACCCATGGACCAGATTTGAACCGAATGTAGATTCTGAAGTTGATGATGACGAAAATTGGTTAGATACTCCCGTGTTTCCATACGCCAGTGGATACGATAAAGAAGCTGGACCGAAATACTATTATGAAAATGAAATAAACGGACCACATATGGAGTTGGAGGATAAAGAGAGATGGAGAGGGTATGGAGTTGATCCTAGAAATAAAAGATTTATGGTAAGAAGAAAATAAATTGTTTTTTAGAATAGCTATGGTTATAGAGTGCTAATCAAAAATCCTCCGGTTATACTTAAACTGAAATTAGAAACTTATAAATAAATAGTTAAGAAGCTTCTTTACATTTCAACTCTTAACCAGAGCTGGACAGAGTACTGCTTTAAAGCGCTTATGTCTACTTCACAATGAGTAGTGTAACGATAGTCTAATTTATTATAGTTTATTTATTTGAAACACACTATTTACAATTTATTTCAAACGTACTAATTAATTTATACATCATAAGTCTTACCTCCCCTATCTAACTCGTTACTGGAGTCTTGTTAGGAAAATCGCCGAGACACGTATATTTTTGATTTCTACAATGCATATTTTGGTATGAATAGTTTACCCTTAATTTCATCCCTTACTGGAGGGGAGCAACCCTTTCGAAATATTTAAATGGCATGGGGTGGTAAGTGATAGCTCATTTTAAAGGGGGTTTTATTTAACTGTGCAAAAAATTTTGAAATTTGCTTCATTAATTTTCGACTAATTATTGTTTCAGAATAACGGAAATTAACGTAGCGCACTTATCCTTAGAATTAATATTCGGCCCTGCATGATATCGGTTTTGGTTCAGACGTTAAGTAAGACTTTTTGCCATTAGATAAGGTCACTGTTAGTTTAGTTGCTTTCCTATTTGTGATGTTCTGTTATTTTTAAACATTATTAAATTAACACGTAATGAAGCAAATTTCAAAATTTTTTATACGATTGAATAGAGAATAAAACTCCCTTTCAAATGAGCTATCACTTACCACCCCATGACATTTAAATTTTTTGAAAGGGTTGCTCGCCTCCAGTAAGGGATGAAATTAAGGGTGTAAACTATTCAAAAATATACATTGTAGAAATCAAAAATTGACGTGTCTCAGCGATTTTCCTAACAAGACTCCGTTAACGAGTTAGTTAGGGGAGTAAGACTTATGATGCTCACTGTATAATACTTAGACACTAACTAACAATTCTAATTTATTTATTACAATTTTACTTTTCTGTCTAACACTTTTTACTAAACTAAACTGTGCGCCGATGAGTCGGCTATTTATACCAAGCCAATTCTGTGCTCGTCGTTTCTGGGCGCTCCCGAAAATTCTATCTCTATGACTCAACGGCAGTTTCTCGAAGCGTCAGCGGCATACCTAGAAGATTTCGTCGTTTCTTGTATATTCAAAACGCGGTCCGACTGTTTTCACACGTCAGCGTTGCTTCGATCATGAATCGAGTGGCAGATTTCCAAGGTCGCCCGTACACAGGGTTGGCTCCGCATAACATTAGCTTTAAAAAAGTACTCATAAGCATAAGAAGTACTTTGGCAAATTTTAGAGAGTACTCGTGAAAAAATCGAGTATTCTAAATAATTCTAGTTAGTTACTTATGAATAGAAAGAAGAAATTATAGTAATTAATAATAGTAAATCACTAAGTAACAAACAAAAACGAGTTGAATATGGATCGTCTTCAGTTTTCGACACTTCATTTGCCCAATTTTGTAACCTAAAAATATTATAAAAATGTCTTTCACCTCTAAATTCTTCGCTAGTTCATTCTAATTTAAATGTATACTCTTCCATGTAGGGTATAGTCTGATATTTTTCTAATGTATATAGGGTATTGCACGACGTACCGTATAAACTTATTTTAAGCAAAAAATGCCCCATGAAATAATATCCAATTCTTCGTGGTTACCGAGCTACAAGCGTTGAAAGATCAAACGATATATTAGTGTAATATGCCATTTATCAAAATTTGTTTCTTGTTTATCAACAATTTACTTATAAACGTCAGTTGATTAGTCAGATCTACACTTGTTAACTCTATTTTTAGGCAAAATTAAAGGTTCCGTTAGCGTCTCAACTCTTGGTGCAGTATAAGAATCATTGGTTAATGGAGGGGTATTGTTTGTAATGTCCGTGGTAGCAGCTGGTAAAAAATCAACTTCGGTAAAAAACGTTTTCATCTGAGGGAAAAATCCCAGTTTTGCAAAATCCGTTTATCGCTGTTTTCATAGTGGTTGCGTTTAGAAAGGCATTACCAAAAAGCGTGGAAATTTGAAATATGGTTATCACCTTTCCTGGATTGCAACGCATCTATGTCCGAGCTTCATGTTCATAAAAAGTACTTAACGGTTTCATGAAGGAAACGTCCAACGGTTGAAGTCTATGACTTGTGTGCTTTGAAAAGCATAATAATATTACACCATTCTCACGTGCATGCAAAATTAAGTCAAGATTTTTGGTATGGGTTGAATGCCCATCGAGCAAAAGAAGAGCTGTATTTTCTTTTGTTGCTTTAGAAAACGTAACAAATAGCTTATACCAATTGAAAAACTTCAGTGGTTATCCATCCAGAATCACTAACTTCTAGTACTGAACCAGGTGGCAAACCTAACTCAAATGACAGTTGCTTCCGTTTCCGTGGAAAAATTAGCATAGGTGGCATGTATGCTCCAGCATCAGAAAAACAGATTTCAGCCGTTATGGTTTGTCCTCGTTCAGTGAAAGTTAAGGTGTCTACCTGACGTTTTCCTTTTAAGGCTAAAATTTTGGTATGGCCCTTTGGACTCACAGTCAACCCCGTTTCGTCACAGTTATAGATGCGTTTTGTATCTAGCTTATGTGTGTCTACTGTTTCCAAAAGAAGGCGGAAAAATTGTGACACCACAACCCTATTAAACCCCATAGCTCGAGCTCCCGAAGTTGATTCTGGTTTTCGTAGCGTCAAAGTAGGGTAGCGTTTTAAAAAACATTGCATCCAATCCTTTCCAGCCATTTCAGATGCAATATTAAATTTTTGTTGACACTGATTTTGTATAGCTAATTGATAAGCCAAACAACTAAAGTCAATCATATTCAAGCCAAAAAGTCTTGATTCCATTAATTTTAAATAGTCGACAAGTTATCTTTCCTGTTCTTGTGAAAACACGCAGTAAAATTTCCATGTTGTTCTGCGGCCCTACTGTACCCCATTTTTCCAGTAACAACGGCATCAACGGCTGCGTTCACAGATTCGGTACTCCATTCCTGGCGCTTTGTCTTCCGAACATAATTTCTAACCATCTGAAAAAATACTAAATTGTACCCCAATCTGCCCCATGTGCAACGTTTACTTTTAAAGTAAAATTTTTGAAAAAAAAAAAAAAAAGACCTAGAGTAAAGCTATAGTGATAAAAAAGTTGCTAATCAACGTTCTTTGCATTACATAATTGAAATAGATTAAATTTTATTAAGCAAATTACTTACGGTGGTTAATAGGGACGGCAAAAGTTACAAATCAACACGAACTTTCCAGATGTTAACGAGACTAACCTCTTGCTTGACGTTTTTCGGACAACTGGCGTATCTAACATGTAACCGAGGCTTTTAAGTGAACTTCAGTTCAATTTCGCATATTTCCGTTCACACGTTCGGTTTTTAATGGCATACCCCGTTCTACCCCGCTACCCTGTTCTGCCTTGCTTTCCCCTACGTCATATCTTCGGAGAAGATGTAAAGCCATTGGTCCCTAGTCCATAGATGTTGAGCACGTAAAAGATCGCTACCTCTGGTTAGAATACCTCGTTTTCCTAAAATTCTTAGTTTTTGACTTATAATGAATTTAAGATAATGACAACTTTCAGTTTTTGTCCACTATTTTGACTCTTCCTGTAGATATCTTGGGTTTCTTGGCAACACTTCAAAAAACACAAAAATACGCAACTTTTGTCTAATTTAATCAACTTGCTATCTTTTACCGTTTGGAAAATAGCGATACTGTTCCTAAGAAAAAGAAAAGACCCTGATTCCATTAATTATCGACGATTTAATAATTTTTGATGCAACCTGCAGAGTGAACAACTAGAAATAAAATTATTTTTAGATAGTAAATGGCTACCTGTTTTTAATTACTTGGATAGACAAATTATTAAGAAAATAAATTGATTTCAAAACTATGGCTGTAATTTTGTTTGTTATTGAGTCAAGCAAAAGCCCATATCAATTTTCTTAATTTTAAAATAACAGGATTTGATTTCTACTGATGTTGCAATGACTGTTGTATTGTTAGATCTTACTGTGAGGTTGCTCGCATATTGGAAAAATTAAAATCAGTAATCTATCATAATGTTAACAGGTAAAAAGACGAGGTCAAGGTAGAAAACGTTTAAGCATGGCTAGGAAAGAGAGATTCATAGTGTTGCAAACACTAATATAGAGTCGCAAATACAGCACTTTAAACAAGAAATGAATTGAACGAAGCACTTGGAGCAAGTCTTTCTGATAATTATAGAAGAAGGCCCAAAGACGCTGATTTAAAGACCTATAAATCAATAAAAGCTTAATATCTTCAGCCTCGTCATAATAATTGTAATAATGACCAGTGGGTCAAGGTTCTGTTCGTAGACAAGAGCCGCTTTTGCAAAAATTTAAACTATGGCAGGGAAGGAAATTATAGTCGTTGAGAGGAAAAATATGAACAATTTCATTTTACTCCCACTCTCATATGGTGGAAACTCAGTTATAGTATTGCTTGGGTGTTTTTAGGGGCACGAACAGAGTTGGTTGTCATTGATGTCGATTTAAATGCAGATGGTTACACACGAGACGTTCTGCAAGAGCCTGTAGGGCCTTTCGCGCCTTATATCGGACAAAACTTTTTTCTTATCCACGACAACGCCTGTCCTAAAAATTGGATCGTTATGTATACAACTTTTTATTTAACGATGGAATAACAATAATCGATTGTCCAGCATGTTCTTAAGATCTTAATCTAATCGTACATGTCTGGAGTATGCTAGGCAGACTATTATTGTCCAAAATTCCTGCTGTGCAAAATACCGAGCAAATGATCTGTTTTGCCTGAGATTTTGGATAATCTGTCTCTATAAATGATTAATAAACATTACACTGGCCAACAAAATTACACTTTTTGACTGTTAAATGACTTGTCATATGATGTTTACTAATTTTAAGTCGCTGAATCTAAATATACCCCCACTTTATTTTCTGACAGTTCTTGTTTACGAGTTATAGCTTTCACTAAAAATTCGCTATATTGTAGTGTTTACTTGCAGTTTATTTAATAATAATTATTGAATTATTATAAATATTTAACTTTATTTGAAAATACCATTAATTTGTAATCCTCTTTAACGACCCCTCTGATGTACAACCGCGGACACCCCCTGTAGTTTATTAGAACATACTTATAAAGGTAAAAGTATCTCTCTTTAATGACCGGTAAAACCCAATTTCAGAATTTTTAAGAAATGATATTTTGTTATTTTAGGGCAACGTTTGGTAAGACAATAGTGAAATTTTCTTTCTTGTTTAAATTATTGTTTTATTTTGTAATTTGTTATGGCATCGTCAAGAAGAGTATGTGTGAATGATCCAAACAATTTTTGTTTCATTTGCGGAGAGTATGTATTTAAAGAATACCGTTTAAATATGACAACATTCGTAAATGAGGCTTACAAAAATTACTTTGGGCACCCGCTGGAAATTAAGAATAAGCCTTGGATTTCGCAAAAGGTATGCAAAAGGTGCGTTGAGTTCCTACGTTTATAGACAAATGAGAAAAGACATGTACAAAACCGTTATGATTTGGAATGAACCCATGAACCGTCATGACGATTGTTATTTTTATTTGGTGAAAATAACTGGTATTAACCGAAAAAATCGAGCCAAATGGGAATATCCTTCCATACAATCGACACATAGACGTGTCCTGAGCCCTAAGTCTACACCTACTTTACAAGAAGAGCCAGAAGATTTTGAGACGAAAAACGACAGTAGTGATAGTGACTTTGAATGCGACCTGAGAACGCCAAAACCATTCAATCAAGATGATTTAAACGCCTTAATTAGAGGTCTGAGACCGCCAAAGTCAGCTTCAGAAATTTTGGCTTCAAGGCTAAAAGATGGTAACGAAAGAAACCAAAATTTCTTATTACCTTACAAGAGAACAGAATATTCTCAAATATTTTGCCGAAGAAGACAATTTCGTATTTTGTAAAGATGTACCTCGATTGATGGCTGCAATGGGATTACAAAATGATGTTTCTAGTGAGTGCCGTTTATTCATAGACTCGTCAAAACGGAGTCTAAAATGTGTTCTCTTATACAATTAGAATAAATTAGGGTCGTTGCCTATTGCACATTCTACAAAAGTAAAAGAAGAATATACAACTATTGCTCTGGTTGATTTAAAAATGGTCAACTTTCTATTAGGCCAGCAAGGTGGTTACACAAAGTAAACTTGTTTCCTTTGCTTGTGGGATAGTAGTGCTAAAAATTAACATTGGGTTAAAAAGGATTGGCATATTCGGAAAGATCTAGTTCCAAGACAACAAAAACGTGATAAACTCACCTTTAGTGTATAATTTTGCCTCCGTTGCATATAAAATTAGGGCTTATAAAACAGTTTGTCAAAGGTCTTAACAAAATTGTTTTCTATTTCTATCTAAAAAATTCCCAAAACTGAGTGTAGAAAAGATAAAAGCGGGGATTTTCGATGGGCCACAGATAAGGTTATTAATAAAACATACAAAATGTACGGACACTATGACAGAAATTGAGAAAAACGCATGGAATGAGTTTGTTTGGCTTGTTCAAAATTTTGTGGGAAATAAGAAAAGTTCTAACTATTATCAACACGTTGAACGTTTAATGGGTCACTTTCAAACCCTTGGATGTAACATGAGCATTAAGTTGAACTTTCTTCACAACCACCTAGATTATTTTCCCGCTAATCTTGAGGATCTAAGTAAAGAACAGGGCGAGCGATTCCACCAGCACCTTTGTACGATGGAGGAATGGTATTAAGGCTACTGGAACGCACACAAGGGTTGAACCTCTGCAAGGAAGTCTTATAAAAGAAAGTTTTTTCACCTTAAGAAATAAATAAAATATGATTAACTTTAAACAAATTTTGTTTTACTATGAAACGGCCATGTGTCATATTTTCTAAACTAGAGCTAATAGAGAAATTTAGATTACAGATTTGAAGTCTTCAAAAACTTTTTTTGTTCAAACGTTAGATTACCTGCATATATTTTTTTTAAATCTTTTATTTTATATAATAACTGAGATGTTAAAGTGAAATAAAAGAAACTGATCCGAAAACTGATCCGAAAAGATCACAGGCTACCGTTTGATATATTTTTAGTACTTTGCTGCTCACTCTACAGGTTGCTTCAAAAATTAATAAAAAATCGATATTATGGACGCCGCCCCCTGTATACGGTATACAAATATGTTAAAACGATATCTAATAATAAGCCAACTGCATTTCCAAAGAATCAAAGAACGTACGAACATATAAAAAAATGATCGGAGTTGAATGAAAATTGTAAGAGAAAAATGATGTATAACTTTTCTCGTTTCCCTAAATTTTGTGTCTATACCATTTTTTTATACCGTAAATGTATTAATTATTAATTGTTTATCTACCTATTAAATAATCTTCGTATTATATTCAATACTCTATTCAAAATTTGCTGTTTTCTGTCTTAGGTTACTAAAAGAAGAAGTATGGATCCAACCAGGGAACTGAGATATTTAAATGGACCCAACAAAAACGACTTTTATACATTGTCTCAACTTCTAAACAACCAAAAGAGCTCAGAAGGAATGCCGGTATACCGTCGATTAGTTTTGTAAGGAAATTAATATATTGAGCGTCATATCAGAGATCTGAAGAATGGTACCCTTCTTTTTATCTATATAAGATTTTATTGTTCTAGACTCAAAAACATAAATTTATTGTATGTTATTATTATATTGGTGTATATTTTTTGAAGTAAATTATATAAATGGCAGTCAGTATAATATAAGTGCGAAATAATTAATTAATGTACTATACATGTTGTACTTATTAAAGATATAATAATAAATTGTGCATCATTGCCACTATTCATTATTTAGTTCTCAACCTGCATATTTTTGAAAGCATGCTAAAATTAAAAAACAAAAAGTAATCCCAGAAACATGTTAGATTATAGATTGTACAATATTATTGACTTATCTATATACTGTAAATAAAAATGTATATCATTTTACAATGGCAGTGAATTTAAAAAAAAATAATTTTAATTTATTTGTTGTTACTCATTACATTCCTCACGACCCACTAAACATGAAACCACTCTTTTTGTAACGTTTTTTACATAGACTTTTCTTGATATATTTTAAAACTGTACTAACATATATAATATATGTTTAAATGTTAACATTATAATTATTAAAATACCTCGCAACTGAAGTATCATGTATGCAGCAAAACCAGAGATAACAAGAGATGTAACTACTAACAAATATCGTGCGGTCCTGAATAAGACATATTCTAAGGGACACAGGAGGGTATAATATCCGCTGTTGTCATATGCCTATTTCATTATTCTCGTTTTGTTTACGAACTTATTTTCATATATTAAAAAAGCTAAAATAATTGAACCTGTTTTATTGCAACTAAACCCAAAACATTTTAAAATAAATTAGATGTAAATTTACTAAATTAAATGTTATAATTTTCAATAAATTCCAAAACCTAGTAGTGGAAGTTGGAAGTGGCAACAGGTCTTATACCGTTACGTTACGTTGTTTATTATTAGCGCACATCGGTTACACATTTATTCATTGATAAAATAAAGTTGTATCTGCGTAAAATCCTTCTCTTTATCCCCTCTTTTACTTTTCACCTTTCGTCTTCTCACCGCAGACCAACAAATAGAGTGTTAAGGCGCGTCCACATTATACCGAAACATGCCGGCCTATGCCAGGCGGCACGTTGCGTTCGGTTTACGGTGTTCGGCAAGACGTCCACATTGTTCCAGTAGTCTGGACACAGGTCTGGACGTCTCGAATTGCCAAACAGTACCGAACCAAAACGCATCAGTGAAAAGATGCGCAGTGCGCACTTTGTTGGAGAAATGTCGAGTGATGATGATGATGCCGTTTTAGCTGCTTTAGCAGCAATAGTTATAGCATTAACTGCAGGAAACCGTCGTGCCCGTTGCCCCCGGAGATTTTGGATTCGCCGCAGCATCCTTCAGGGGAGGAAAAAGTACAGGGCCCGTGAATTAATAAATTCCTGGAGGTACTGTATCTATAGTTACTATCAGTTGGTTAACATATATACTGTAGGTGTTTCAAAAATTGCATTTATTTTTTCGTAATGGGTTCACGTAGTAAGAAAGGTGAGGAAGAACTGCACCAATCGATTAAAACAATAGTGAACGCACTCTGTACATCTGACACGTTTATTAATCAATTAAGTGATACATTATTTAATATTATTTTCAATAAATTTGAAGGCGAATTTAAATTTTTAAACGATAAAGTCACCAAACTTAAGGAATCTTTAGAAAATCAAAATCAAGTAATTAAACTAATGTTGTTTCGACAAAAAAAATATGAACAACGTGTACGACGCCTAAACCTGCTAATGTATGGTGTGTTAATGAGATTAAAGAAGAGAACTGTTCAAACAGTGTCTTAAATACTTTTCATAAAATGCAATTAAACGTAGGCTCGTCTGATATAGAATGTGCTTATAGGATTTGAAAAGTTGTTATCGGTAAAACAAGACCTATATTGGTAAAATTTTATAACGCATTCGCAAGAAATACGGTATACTCCAATAAGAAATTGTTGAAATCTACAAAAATTAATATAAGAGAAGATCTTACTCCTGAGCAATCAAGACCATTAAAGATGGCGATAACAAAAATTGGTAAAAATGGGAAAACCTGGACCAATTCTGGTACAATTTTCATCAAGCTGGAAGGAGTTGAAAATGTATACAAAATTCTTTCAAGTGAAGATCTTTTGAAATTCTGAACTATTTATTCAGTTCTCATTTAGCAAAATGTTATTTTTTCTTATTCGGTATCCTTTCTTCTTTAGGTTGTTTAGTTTGGAAAATGATTATTTTTCTAAATTATACTATTTTTTGGTATTAAATAGGTTTAGCAGCACCTAATGTATGCAGTTAAATCGTACTCAGTTTCACTTCTGGTAAGCAGGTTAATCTTATCAGTAGTCAAGTTTTTGTTATACCTATTAAACTTTATTCGTATTTAATGGTAATTTGTATTTATATTTTTGAATTGAATTAAATGAATAATATTTTGTATATAGGTTGTCTCAAGGCAAGATCGTTGTTGCCATCTATGCATGATGTGCAATTGATTGTTGCGGAACATTTTTTTGACATTTTTATTATATGTAAAACCTGGCTTAAGAAAATATATTCAAATGAGTTAGTTAGATTAGAAGGATTTACTTTATACAGGTTAGATCGAGGATCTGCCGGGGGGAGGGGGGGGGCTTGTGTATTTACGTCAAAAGTAACATAAATAGTACTAAATTAAACTGTAGCGGAAAATTTTCTGAGCAATTTTGGGTGAAGCTTAAAATTAAAAATATAACTATTGCTTTAGGTGCTGTATACAAGCCCCCTACGGTGAATTCTAACTCATTCATTGATGAAATGGAGGACATGCTTAGTACGCTATGTCCAAGTTTTGATAAAGTAATTTGTGGAGGTGACTTTAATATAGATTTTTTAAATTTTGAAAATACTACAGTGTTAACTATTCTTCAATGTTTTGGGCTCTATCAAGTTCTTGATACCCCAACACGAATAACAGATACAACAGCCACACTTTTAAATGGTATTGTGACATCTGAAGATTGGCTAGTGGAGAAGGGTGTCATCCCAGTAACAGGTATTATTGCTGATGATGATATTGCTTATTGCAAATTAAAAGTTTATTTGGAGAAAGAGGGACCGAAAACATTAACTTATAGGAATTTTAAGTTTTTTAATGAAAACGACTTTCTGCGAGACTTGTATAATATGCCTTTTTTTAGAATATATGATCAAGAGGGGGTAGATGAAAAAATTAATTTTTTGGTAAACTGTTTGAATAATTTGTTTGATAGACATATGCCACTAGTGACAGCACGAATAACTAAGCCGCGAGCTCCTTGGCTTACCGGTGCAATAAGGGAAATGATGGATATTAGAGATAAAGCCTTTAAAAGGTATAAAAACACTAAGTCAGATGCCCATTTCCAATTTTATAAAGATATGCGAAATTACACAAACAGTGCTATAAAACGGGAGAAAAAAGCTTTCTTTACATTTGAGTTTAATAATAAAAATTCTAAACAATTTTGGAAATCACTGAAAACATATAGAGTCTTGCCTGTTAAAGAGTAATCCATTCCTGATCGTCTTAACAACCCTGTTGACATTAATAACTATCTTATAAATTCTGTTGCTGGATCTCAACCCCCTGAAAATTTAACCTTATTTTATAATAATAATAGTAGAATAGATTCTAAATTCAATTTTACTGAAATAAACGATTTATTTGTTTCGCGAGCTATTGCAGAGATAAAGACTAATGCTACGGGGGGTGATGTAATAAGTATAAGACTAATTCGATATTGTTGTCCAAACATTGTTCAATATATTACGCATATTATTAATTTTTGCCTAACTAATAATATTTTTCCGCTTTCATGGAGGAGAGCGGTGGTGAAGGTGTTGCCTAAAAAATCAGATCCTCGAGAGTATAAAGATCTTCGACCTATTAGCATGTTGCCAACATTATCTAAAATCTTAGAGAAAGCTATTAAAGTGCAACTTAGGAAACATATTGACTCTTTGTTACCTGTAACTCAATCAGGTTTTCGTAAAGGCTATAGCTGCACAACTGCTTTACTCCATGTGGTGGATGATATTATTAAATCTCTGGACAAGGGTCATTGCACAGTTTTGGTCTTACTAGATTTTAGTAGGGCATTTGACACTCTTAACTATAAATTAATGTCATCTATTCTAAGTTATTTAGGTCTTTCCCAGAATGCAGTGTCGTACCTTACAAATCGACAGCAGCTAGTTACGATCAATGGTCAGTCTTCTCCTTACTTAGATCTCCAATGTGGTGTACCTCAGGGTTCTATTTTGGGTCCCTTACTCTTTGCTCTGTATACATCCAATATTTTAAAATGCCTTCAAAGCTGTAATGCTCACTTGTATGCGGATGACACTCAACTTTACTACAGTTTTGACTCCAATAAAGTAGATGATACATGTGCTTGTATAAATAGAGACCTAGAATTATTTGTAAAATCAGCTTCTGACCACTGTTTGAAAATAAATTGTAGCAAATCTAATGTCTTTGATACTAGATATAAACGCGATTCTGTGTTAGAGAATGTAAACATATTAGTTAAAAACGAGCGTCTTGAATTAGTAAATCATGTTGAAAGTCTTGGTGTAGTTTTAGATGCTGATTTGCGATTTGAAAAACATATAAATAACTTAATTGGGCGTGCATACTCAACAATCAAATTGATATATGGAAATAGGCAGTTCTTATCTTCTGATATCAAGAAGCTTTTATGTGAAAGTCTTATTCTCTCGATCTTTAATTATGCAGATGTCCTGTATGGGCCATGCTTAACCAGCCAATATAAACAGAAAGTTCAAAAGGTACAAAACTCTTGTCTTCGCTTAATTTTTGGTATTCGAAGAAGACTGCCTATTTCTCACAAATTAAAGGAAATATGATGGCTTAACATGTACAATAGAAGAACACTTCATGCTGCAAGTACATTTTACAAAATTATTGTTAGTAAAACTCCATTATATTTGTACAGGAAAATCACTTATCGAACTGACGTGCACAATTTAAATATAAGACATAAAGGTATACTGTCTCCACCACCATTTAGGTTAGAGCTGTTTAGACGATGTTTCTCTTATTATGTATGTGCAATTTATAATAATGTTCCATATTCACTAAAATCTGTCAGTCATGAAAAATTCAAGAAATCATATAGAAATGTGTTATATGCTGCATAGTTGTAAATGCTCAGATAGTGTTTAATAGGTATATCTCATGTCTTTCTAATTTCTTTTTTTTTTATTTATTTTTCTTTTCTGTGTTTTGAACTGTTCAAGCGATATATTTATAAATATAATATAATTTTATTTTTTTTATTGTTTTGGGTTAAGTGGAAGAGCAATTCAGTGGTGAGTTTCATCACATGAATTGAACTTCGCCCTTTATTTCTCATTTTGCATAAAATGTAGCGAATTGATATGTAATTTTGTAAATATTCTGTATATTCAAAATGAAAATAATAAAGACATTTATTATTATTATTATTAATGAGGGACTTACCACTCGATAAAGTTGACGAGTCAAATTTCGAATACAGGAACGACGTGGGATTCTGCAACTTTTTCAGAATGAAAAGTTCTGATTTTGAACACCTGTTGCCCTTGATCGAGTCGAAAATTAGCCAGAAAAATACCTCCTTCAGAGAGATTATTCCTGCAAGTGAACGCCTAGCAGTCACCCTGCGCTTTCTTGCGACTGGAGATTCGTACCATCCATTGATGTATACGATGCAGATTTTCAAACAAGCTATTTCTTGTTTTGTGCCGGAGGTTTGTAACGCCCTTGTCGAAGCCCTCCTAGATTACGTTAAGGTAAGAAATATAGTTATTACTAGTATTAAAAAAATAAAAAAAAAATAATTTTATTTCCTTTAAAATAAATGACAAAAATTAACGAGAACGAAGCGTCAGTGCTGAATGTTATCTTCATGTAGATAAGGGGTTTAAAGGATGTCACGTGAAAACGGTTAAATAATGCAATCAGAGAAAATGGATGCAGGTGAAGGCGATTGGGAATATGAACGTGAAGGCGATTGGGAATATGAAGGTGACGCCGAATAAGATGGGTAAGGTAAATGATTTTGCGTCTGGCTGAGTGGTATGCCAGGTGACGATTGGTACGACGAAGAGAAAGCAGAAAATGGCCTGGTTGAAGTAGGTGGTTGTATATTACCCTGCGTAGCTCCCGATTGTAAAGTATGAGGTTCGTACATCCCTATTTCCGCATCAAATAGGACTTAATTTATGGAATTTTTCACCATAAATATTGTTCACGGAGAAGGTAGTCTGCGTAGCTTCATTGCTACTTGTTAGCCAAACAACGAATATTCATCTTTGCTGTCAACTCTTCTTGAGTGGATCGATCTCATAAGTTTCACCGCTTCATCCAAAATAGATGCATTGGATGAGGCAAGATTATCTGTAAGCTTACGTTTAGCGGATTTGGTCTTGGGTGTTTTATGCGACTTGAAATCCTTAGTTTTTGGCACTTTCGTTGGGGTAACCACAGCTAGCTGGTCCTGTTGAGAAGTTGATGGTTGAGATGAAGCTTGGTCTTGACTTTTTCCTGTTTCAAAATCTTCAACTTGTTTTTTCTTTTCTCCCTCATCATGGGCTGATGAATCCTAAAACAGATTTTTTTTAATGTTTAGATGCCCCAAAGAAAAGACGAATGGGAAGTAATCGCCCAAGAATTTAACGAAAAATGGAACTATCTAAACTGTATCGGAGTCATAGACGGCAAGCACATCGCTATGCATGCTCCTATTCATATGGGCTCAGAATTTATCAACTACAAGGGGTTTTTTAGTATTGTTTTGCTTGCTGTAGTTGACCCTACAGTGGGTTACATAACAAAGGATCAAATAAAAGGATATTTCGCTACAGATTTAGCGGGGCTCGCAGGGTTTCAGAAAATGCATTTGGAGCGCTATCAACCAGTTTTCGAGTGTTTCGATCTGCCATGGAACTAGAACCTGACACGGCAAAGAAAGTGACCATGGCTGCTGTTTACCTACACAATTTTTTTAGAAAAAGCACCTCCGGTAGAGTTCCAAGAAGAAGTAATTTAAAGGCTCAAGCAGTCGGGGACGAATTTGCGAAATATTTTGTTATTCCGTTTCCAATACGACAAGTAATTAAATAATTGTGTACAAGTATACCTGTTAATGGAGGCTGTATTTTTACAATAAAATGAATCTGTTTGTAGTGTAAATAAATTCTAGCAGAATAAATCCTACCTAATAAATCCTAAAACGTTATAACTTCTACTAAAAAATACGAACTTGCCTCAACATTTTCCACGGTGTTCCTTGGTTTATTCTTTTCAGACAGGAACAGCATAGCTTGGTAAGTAAACCATTTGCTCACGTAGGGTTCGTCAGCGCCACTTCCAGTTCTTCTGGTTTCGGCTTCTTTCTTCATTTCTCTTGCAAAATGGCTTTGCAAATTTTTAATTTTTCGCTCCACGTCTTGTTTCTGTATACCGAATGAAACGGCAATTTCCATTGTGGTATCACGTCTCCGGTTCTATTTTTGTACTCTGAGTTGATGAAATCCCAGAGTGACGCACGTTTGCGATATAAGTCAATAAATGATAATGTCTGTTCATTAGTCCACTTGTCACTCATTTTCACACTCACGAAGCCAGAAGAATAAAAACTAGAAAAATATTTTCTAAAACAACAGACGGTTAAAGCTTGACTGAAGCCGATCAACACGTCCACACGATGAATTTTAATTCGGTTCGGTTCGGCTTTCTTTGTACCGGACCGACTTGGATTAGTTTGGGTTTGGCATCATTCGAGTCGGGTTTAGGTGAGTCGGTGAGGCCGACCGGTAAGTCTACATTAATTCGGCTTTGCCGATCGGCTCAAGCCGAATGATGCCGATCGGCATAATGTGGACGCGCCTTTATGATTGTAGTGTAATGTGAGCCATTTCATTATTCAGTCATGCTCTAATACTCCAAGTCCCTCTCTGTATTATTTGGCCTTTGAGTCTCAACTTGTCCGCTTATTATACATAATTAAACCCCTTAAGACCAAACCTATGGGACGACTATGGTGGAGACACTTTCGCGAACATCCCTGAGTCAACGAGATACTATTTCTAGTCTAAATATAACGTGATAACGTTTCTGGTAAATTCTGGAAATTTTGGTGGAGGAACATTCTAGACCACCAATTTGTATATAAATTGGTGGAGGAGAGCCATCAGAGTTAGTAGTCAGTTGTTATATGGACAGTGAAGATAAATAGTAATTAGTAGATAGTGGTGAATATAAATAGTGATCAGTTTAAAGACATTCGAAGTATATATAAATTAGAATAGTTGTGTTATAAAATAAATAGGTGTTTAAATAAATTATTAATAAATAAACGGTTGTTTTAAAGTAAACAAACATCACATTGGTGTCGAGAAGTGGAACAGTGTAAATAAATAGTGGACAATCATGGCTAAAAAACTGTGTGATTGAAAAGTGGCCGAATTGCGTCGAGAATTAGAAGATCGTAATCTGGAGACGACAGGGAAGAAAGCAGAACTGGCAGAGAGGCTTAAAGAAGCACTGGAAAGTAAATGTTTGGATCCGAAAACGTTTCTATTTTCGGATGATGCATCTGCTATAATTTCTTCAATTTCTTCCGATATGAAAACCGAAATATCTTCTATGAAAACTAAAATTACTGCTGATGTTTCTTCTATAAAAAATGATATTTCCTCATTGGAAACTAAAGTTTCTGCAGACATTTCTTCCTTAGAAAGTAAAGTTTCTTCTGACATTTCCTCATTAGAAACTAAAGTTTCTTCAGACATTTCCTCTTTAGAAAATAAAGTTTCGTCTGATATTTCTTCCTTAGAAGAAAAGGTGTCTTCTGATATGTCTTCCGTGAAAAACGAAATATCTTCTTTAGAAATCAAAGTCTCCTCTGATATCTCTTCTATAAGAAATTAAATGTCTTCTGTCGAGGAGCAAATAATGTCTTCGGTAGAGAAGAAAATAAAAGAAATGGAAAAGAAGATAGAAGAAATGGAACACGTAGACCAAACCAAGAACGATGAAATAAAGTGCCATGAGGTGGAGTCGAAGTTGAAATTGGAAGGAGCTGTAAACTCTCCTCGTGTTAAAGCCCCAACTTTTGACGGGAAAATGTCTTGGACGAACTACCTTAAGCAGTTCGAAACAGCTGCCAGAGCAAACGAGTGGTCTGAACGAGAAAAGGCAATAAATTTGACCATCGCTCTTCGAGGAGACGCTTTGGATGTCCTTCAGACTATACCCGTGAAAGACACAGATGATTTTGAGCAACTCAAAAAGAGACTAAATATGCGATATGGCCACGAATACTTGAAGCAGGTATACATATTACAGTTGAGGAATCGCAAACAGAAACGTGACGAGAGCCTTCAAGAATTTGAATTAGATATTGCAAAGATGGTGCGATTTGCCTACCCGTCAGCTCCAGAAAACATGATGGAATGTTTGGCTGTTTAAGCATTTGTAGATGGACTTCGTGACCATGAAATGCAAAGAACACTTCGTTTAGCCTGTCACAAAACATTGGTCGATGTCTTGTCTGCTGCTCTTGAATATGAAGCGGCTATGCTGGCTTCTGGTGGATACAGTGAAGTAAGGACTGTAAAAGAAGAACAACAGGAAAATAAATTGGACCAATTGTTTCACATGATAAAAAGCCTTATTGAGAAGCAACCGAAGACTATTAGGTGCTGGAATTGCGGTGAAATGGGAAAAGTAAGCAGTTTGCGTAAACGTCCAAAGAACACTACGAATCGAAAAACCGTGCCGGTGGCTGTACAGGAAGGAACGGTGTTACCTGAAAGTAGTGAAACCATACGAGTAAGGCGGTTGCAAGGAACTGTAGAAAAGGCAACGCCTGTCATGGCGGAACCTTCGATGCGCAATAAAGGTGTTGGTCAAGGAACTCTGATTGGAAAGGGGTTGGCCACATCTGATAAAGAAGTTACAGTACGAAGAACGTCGGTTGTCAGCGATGAGTGGGCCCCTGTCAAACTTAGGGAAGAACAAGAGAATGATCCCGTCTTAAAGAAGATACGACAATGAAAAGAGGAAAATCGTCGACCTACTTGGCAAGAAGTATCTAATCTCTCTCCAGTACTTAAGTCGTATTTGGCTCAGTGGAACTCCTTTATCCTGGAAGATGGCTTATTAAAGCGAGTACTGGAAAATGATGACGGTTCCGAGAACAGAAGACAGTTGGTCATTCCAAGAAGTAGAGTAGCTGAAGTACTCCGTCAGTTACACGACAGTACATCAGGAGGACATCTCGGTGTTAGGAAAGGTTTTACTGGATGAACAGTTCCGATGACGTAAAGGACTGGTGTAAGAAATGTACCACCTGTGCTATGAGTAATGGACCTCAAAAAGGAAGGCTCCCATGAAGCAATACAACGTTGGTAGCCCATTTGAGAGGATCGCCTTAGATATTGCTGGACCATTCCCCGCGACCGAGGATGGTAATAAATACATTTTGGTGGTTATGGATTATTTTACAAAGTGGGTGGAAGTCTATGCCATTCCAAATCAAGAGGCGGCAACTGTTGCAGAGATATTGATAAAAGAGTTTATCTGTCGATTTGGAGTGCCCTTGGAGATCCAGAGTAACCAAGGCAGAAACTTTGAAATAGTTGGACAAATCCGTCCCATATGATGCTGACAGCAAACATGTTGCCATATTTATACAAAGAAACGGCAACTCTTAATTATCCTTCCTCCATGGGTGGAAGAACGTGCTAATGTTTCTAGTTTTGGCGAAGAAAACTCTACAACCTTCACCATAATTTTAATTTGTATATAAATATTGGTGGAGGATGAACGGGCCAATCAGTTATTATATGGACAGTGAAGATAAATAGCGAACAGTTTAAAAGACATTCGAAATATATATAAATTAGAATAGTAGTGTTATAAAATAAATAGGTGTTTAAATAAATTATTAATAAATAAACTGTTGTTTAAAATAAACAAACAATAACAGTTACAAAAAAGACTGGTAATGTTTCATGTTTAGTGGGTAAGAATATGAAGCCTACTGATTCTGAATAAATCTGAATTGATAAGGAGGCGTTGATAGGATTTAGAATATTTAAAAAAAACCTAACTCAAAAACGAAAAAAGATGTCAACTTTAAATTTTTAGCAAGAATCAAGTTTTAAGAGTTGAAAAAGTCTTTTGATTTTGCATAAAATCTGAATAAAAATGGGCAGTTAAAGGGGAGTTAAAATTATTAAAAATCATAAATCAATAAAGGAAAGCGATATACATAATTTTTTTAGTAAAAATCAAGCTCTACAAGGGAGTGAAGCCTATTGATTCTAAAAATCAAAATTAGAATCAAAATGGGGGGAAAAGGGTTGTTGAAATATTTAAAAAAGTTTAAGTCTTTACACTTATTATATTCTTAACATATTAGAATGCGAAAAGTATTATGTATTTGGTTCCGTCCGTCCATTTGATGTCATTTTTTTTGCACGATAAATCAAAAATAAAAAACAATATCAATCTGAAAATTTTAGGAAAAATCAAGCTCTATAATAGGACACAACCTATTTATTTTGAAAAAAATCTGAATGAAAATGAGGGGAATAAGGCTCATTGACAATTACATATTGGGACGGCAGCGTAGGTATCTGAGGCGATTGTATTCATTTGTAAGCAATTTAATAGTAGAGAGACAGAAGATCATGTGAATTTACTTGCATGGTTCTCTATAGGATTTGATGGATGCTATATTAGCAGAAACTTAATTTCTGTGGATATTACATCCAGATTATAAAAAATGCCATGCGCTACCGTTTCGAATGTGGTTTTTCTTACTTGTAAGTCAAATGGCACAATCAATCATCTTTAAGTCGCCCCGGAGCGCCACGGCAAATGATAATAGGCGTCCTTTCTCCTACACAAGCCGCTTAGGGGGCCTCAGGGGTTAAAATTCACTCGTATGGGGGTGAATTAGGGAGAGTACTAATAATATTATTATTATATTGTAACAACCAACTCGCCTAAAGACTATTTGTAACTACTGATAGATCTTTAACAACTGTTGTAAATATACTATTAAGGGATTTAAGGCATCAGTGTCTCCAGCCAGAAGGTCCTGGAGTCTAGAAAGAACATCCATTTACCAGTGGCAAATAAAAATAAAAAAATTAAATTAAAAGATCAAAAATTATCCCTTATTATTTGGAGTGAGGGTAGCCATATGTGAGTAGTAGGGATTAAGTGTAAAGGTTAAAGAAAAGGTTCTTTATTTCTCACAAGTCAATTTAATTGGATATTATAGATATCCAGTGGATCTAATATGGATATCCAAATGTCCGTATATATCCAGGATATAGAAAATATTCTATGGATATCCAGCAAAATATCTAATAGGTACCTTTAGTAGAGATCCATAAGTACCTAATGGATATATCCTATAGATGTTTAACATATCTAGTGTACATCCATTATTTGATATATTTAAGAT